CTCTTTTTTTTTTTTTTTTTTTGCGTCTCCCCATCTTTGGAGTCCTCTTTGGCTGGGTGTGTAGCTGGATCTTCTACCCTTTCAGCTGAGGTTTTTACTACAGTCATGCAGAACATTATGACCCAAATTACCCAGTTATTTGCTTATTCTGATTGGAGAGGCCATAAGCGCGCTCCTGCAGATTCTGATTTACTGGCGGCCTTAGCAGCTCCTAAGCTATTGGCAGCTGAGACTCTGTTTGATTCGGATTCACTCAGATCTGTGTTGAATGAGCTTACCCCTGAGAAGTTGCTGTATAAGTAAACCATTTCAGCTCTTATTGCGGCAGTGTGCACTATTTCAAACTAGAGAATCAGTCTGTTGCTCTTTTCAGGGCCCCTAAGGCAGCAAAGATTTTGGAGGTTCTTTCCAGAAATCTGTCCTCACTGCAGGTCCTGCTTTACACCTAATTATGGCTTTGATTTTACTTACACCAACCATCAGAGGGGAACCAGAAGTCTCACTACTACAAGAGAGAAAAAGTAGATCCTGTTCTGGTACATTTACATCTAGCAGACGGACCATTGGACCAGCCAGACTGTTTGTTTATACTGTCTCTAGGACCAATTTGCCATCCTGCTTTTCGGTTGCTGGCTTTAGCAGCATGCCTGTTGAAGCCCAAGTTCCTAGGGGCAGAAGCATCTTGGAGTCTATGATTCCTATGATGCTTAAGGCTAGAAGGTCCACTTTCCACAAGGTCTATCATCGAACATAGAAAATTTACTTCACTTGAGTCTAGGGGCTTTCATCCCAGAAACTTCTCTGTGGGATGAATCCTCTCCTGCATGCAGTTGGATCTTGACCAGCATTTGTACCATCAAAATTCTCTGCTCTTTCTATTCTGCTTCAGAGACGGTTGACCTCTCACTCATGTGATTTTCCCTATCCATTCCCCTGCTACTCGGTGCACTCTGAATCTGTTTCTCTCTGCGCATCAGATGCAACCCTTTAAAGCCATTGGCGACCTCACTCTCTCTACTCGCACCCACACGGTTGCTGTCCTTGTAGCTAGTACCTCTGAGAGACGAGTGTCTAAACTGGTGGCCTTATCTTGGAATAACCCTTTTTGGTCTTGCACAGGAACAAGGTGGTGTTGAGGCCAAGGACTTCCTTCTCGCCTAAGATGGTCTCTGCTTTTCACCTTAACCAGGACATTGTTCCATCCTTTTGTCTGGCTCTGGTTTATCAGAAGGACTTTTTCCTCCATTGTCTTGATGTCATAGAGCTGTGCAAGTTTAACTCTCAGCCACTGCTTTTTTGTAGGAAGTCTGAACTGCATTTTGTGATCAGATGGCCCCTGGAAGGGCAGCTCTGCTTCTTTTTTCACCAAAGTGGCTCCATTGTTCAAGCTTAAAGTGTATTTCCTCTTTTGCAATCAAATTTGAGAAAACCCCTCTATATGTTTGATTTGTGTATCTATTAATTTTAGATGTTTTTTTGCAGCAGGAAAACATGGCAGATTTCAGGTTTTTCTCAGCACCTTTACAGTGATCTGTCCTAATAGAAAGACTTGGGATGAAATTTGAGGATTGTGTTTCTCTGATTAACTTAGCATACAGCGAAGAAGCACCTCCCCCTCCCAACCCTTCCTAACATTATATTTTAACCCTTAAGAAACCAAGTAAACCCTAAACCAAATAAAAGCAATTAAAACTGCAAGAAGCATTTTTTTATTTGTTTTAGCTTATGCAGTGTGAAAGGGAACACATATCAAACATAAAATAGGTGTTTTCCCAATTCGCTGTGAAAGTGGAAGGGTCTTAAGGATTGGGTTTCTTCCTTTCCTGTTAATGCTAACTCTACTAGATCTGTGATCACGTCTTAGGTTTTTCAGCATCAGGCAACTGTTTCCCAGATTTGTAAAGCTGCTACCTGGTTTTCTGTTCACATGTTTTCTAAGTTCTACCAGGTGGACCTTTCTGCCTCATCTGATGCTAGCTTCAGACCTAAGAATCTTCAGGTGGCTCTTTGAGCTGCAGGTAGTCCACAGTTTTCTGTTGTTACTTTGGGCCTGTTAGCGTCCGTTGTGTTGCCCACCCGTCAGTTTACTGCTTTTGGACTTTTTGAGGGTTAAGACTTCTGTGTCCCTCAATGTATGAGAAAGAAAATAGGATTTTTTATACTCCTTGTTAAATCCTTTTCTTGAAGTCAATTGAGGAACACAGGTCCCACCCTTATGTGCTTATGATCATGCTCTCGATATTACTTTGCTACAAAACTGAAGAATGCTTGGTAGTAAGAGGGGTTATCCTGGGCTGACCAATACTCCACTAGGCAGCAGTATAACCCGATGGTCAAAGACTTCCTGTGTCCTTCAATAGGCTCCAAGAAAGGGAGTATATGGTGAGCATAAAATCCTATTTTTTTGTATTATTCACTTTGTTGCTTTTTTTCTTTACTTTTAGCTATTGTAGAGGACTACTTACCACCAAGTAGTTTGGAAATACCCACTTTTGTACCGCCTGCAAACCTGAACCCTACGATCTATATCTCAGAAGAGGGTGTTTCTGCACAGTTATCATCAACCAGAAAAGAAAAAAACTTAAAGATGCTCTCTCTGGCTGTCCGTATCGATCTAAACCTTGTGAAAAACGTCAAGGTATGGCAAAATATTTACAGTGCTTGGTGACAATAGCGTCTATCAAATGAACTTGGGATGAAATTTGAGGATTGTGTTTCTCTGATTAACTTAGCATACAGCGAAGAAGCACCTCCCCCTCCCAACCCTTCCTAACATTATATTTTAACCCTTAAGAAACCAAGTAAACCCTAAACCAAATAAAAGCAATTAAAACTGCAAGAAGCATTTTTTTATTTGTTTTAGCTTATGCAGTGTGAAAGGGAACACATATCAAACATAAAATAGGTGTTTTCCCAATTCGCTGTGAAAGTGGAAGGGTCTTAAGGATTGGGTTTCTTCCTTTCCTGTTAATGCTAACTCTACTAGATCTGTGATCACGTCTTAGGTTTTTCAGCATCAGGCAACTGTTTCCCAGATTTGTAAAGCTGCTACCTGGTTTTCTGTTCACATGTTTTCTAAGTTCTACCAGGTGGACCTTTCTGCCTCATCTGATGCTAGCTTCAGACCTAAGAATCTTCAGGTGGCTCTTTGAGCTGCAGGTAGTCCACAGTTTTCTGTTGTTACTTTGGGCCTGTTAGCGTCCGTTGTGTTGCCCACCCGTCAGTTTACTGCTTTTGGACTTTTTGAGGGTTAAGACTTCTGTGTCCCTCAATGTATGAGAAAGAAAATAGGATTTTTTATACTCCTTGTTAAATCCTTTTCTTGAAGTCAATTGAGGAACACAGGTCCCACCCTTATGTGCTTATGATCATGCTCTCGATATTACTTTGCTACAAAACTGAAGAATGCTTGGTAGTAAGAGGGGTTATCCTGGGCTGACCAATACTCCACTAGGCAGCAGTATAACCCGATGGTCAAAGACTTCCTGTGTCCTTCAATAGGCTCCAAGAAAGGGAGTATATGGTGAGCATAAAATCCTATTTTTTTGTATTATTCACTTTGTTGCTTTTTTTCTTTACTTTTAGCTATTGTAGAGGACTACTTACCACCAAGTAGTTTGGAAATACCCACTTTTGTACCGCCTGCAAACCTGAACCCTACGATCTATATCTCAGAAGAGGGTGTTTCTGCACAGTTATCATCAACCAGAAAAGAAAAAAACTTAAAGATGCTCTCTCTGGCTGTCCGTATCGATCTAAACCTTGTGAAAAACGTCAAGGTATGGCAAAATATTTACAGTGCTTGGTGACAATAGCGTCTATCAAATGTAAAAGTTTGTGAATATAAAAGATTACAAGTTTCTGATTTAGCTGTCAGTGACATTATACAAGTTTAATTATGTGCAGGGCCTGATTTACACTCTCTGCTGCCCCTAGGCTAGGTTCCTCAATGCGCCCCCCCACCACCAATTGAGAATGGCAACCAGATTGCGGGGACGGCAGAGTTGGTTTATATTTTGTACTTATTATTTTTTACTTTTTAAACACCTTTTTATTTTAATTTATTTCTTATTATTTGTGTACTTTTTTTATTTTTATTTAATAATTTTTATCATATTTTTTTTTTTCATTTATTTTTTTCCCCTCTTTTTTTGAACCAGTCACTACCAATACAGGAGTTCTAGCACAGCACTTTGCTATGACAGCTGAGAGGGGAAGGCTGCGAGTGCAGCTTTCCCATCTCACTGTTTACACTGAGCAGAGCGGAGAACGCATGTTGGGCAGTGGGGGCAGGACGGATCTGCAGACTGCATACAAGTAATCTCGGCGACATTGCCGAGATCACTTGTAAACGAACGAGCGGCTTTCCTGCTCTACATTTAGCCCTGCTTGCCCAAAGGGGATAAACGTAGAAGACAACTATGCGCCCGTAACTGCTTGTCCCGGGCGTTGGGAGATTCCACATCCCTGCCGCCCCTATGCTCCCTGCTTGGGCCTTGTGGAAAATCCGGCCCTGATTATGTGCAACTAAACCACTTGCCAGACATTCTAGTTTCAAGCAGATGCAGTTGGCACTTCGTCTCTTACTGCCTTCCCATTCCTTGAGATATGGCCTTAATTTGTTAGTGCACATTATATTTACATACTGCAGTTAGCAGTACTATTGCCATGATTTACATTGCACTTATGTCCAAATGCATAATAGCTTATCCCAATGCTTCTATCAGTAGGGATAGTTTTTGTTTAGCTTAAGGTTTACGGTTAGGTTTACAGTTAGCTTGCATTCAAGGATTAGATTTAGGGGTTAAGTTGAGGGGTTAAGTTGACACTTAAGACTATGCCAGTTACTTGGTATTCATTTTTTGGGTTTTCATAAATTAAGAAAAATTAGCTGACATGCAGGTTTTATTTGCCAACAATGTATGTAACAAAAATGTGTGCCAATGCTCCTGTATCAATAGCAACCACACTCTGAACAATTATGTACCACAGTGGTAGTTGAGAAAACAAAAAACTGCGAGGCCCCATGCTGTATCCACCGCAGTCATGGGTGCCAGCCACCTATGAGATCCCTCACATTTCACAAATGCCTTCTACTAGCACAAACTTGAAGCTGTGCACCACTGGTCCATGTAGCTCAATGGCAACTTTATTAGTACAACATCAGTGAGAATATTCCACCCACACCACTCCTGGGTGCTCATTGCTGCTGGACTAATAAAGTTGTTTTTGAGCTACATGGATCAGTGTTGTGTGGCTTCATATTTGTGCTAGTAGAAGTAGTTTATAAACTTAAGAATGTTACAAGCATACTACTGCAGCATTGAGAGACTGTACTGTTTCTGAAGAATCTATAAATGACATACTGTATAGGCTAAATAACATACCATATGGCCAAATATTTGTGGAAACCTGATGCATACACTATATAGACAACAGTATATGGACACCCTTTTTTTTAATACGGTTCAGGTATTTCCAGCAAAGGGTACTGTTGATGCTACTGCACTCACAAGACATTTTAGACGATTGCATGATTCCAACCTACCGGTATCGGTACTTCGGTTTGAGGAAGACCCTTTTCTATTCCCAAATGACTGTTCCTCTGTGCACAAAAGAAGCTCCATAAAGACATGGATTTACAAAACTGGTGAGGAGGAACTTTGATCCACAAAGCCCTGACCTAAACACTTTTGAACACCCTTGGGATCAATTGGAACATAGATTGTGAGCCTGGTCTTATTTAACTTCAGAACCTGACTTTAAAAATGATCTTTAGGCTGATTGGGCACAAATTCCCCTCAGACATGCTCCATAATCTTGTGGCAAGCCTTCTCAGAAGAGAGGGGGCTGGTGTAGCTGTAAAGGGAAGGCCAACTCCATAAACATGCGCATGGTTTTGAAAAAGAATGTCCAACAAACTCGTGTGATGGTCAGGTGGCCACAAACTTTTGGACATAAAGTGTATGTAGACCAATACTGTTCAAATTATCAGATCATGGAAAGAGTATATATAAACTGAGCGGAAACAATCAATTTCTTATTGACTCTGGTATGGAAAAAAAAAGTGAGAGAAAAATACACCACCTCTCCTTTTCGATTAAATTCTCACTGATTACAAATGTGAAGTTATTTTAGCATGAATGTACACGCATACCTTTTTATTATATACTGTTAAGTCCTTTACTTTGTGTTTTTTTTCATTCATTCCAGGAGTTCTTGGTAGCTCTGAGGCTAGATGGTGCTACTTTACGTCACTATATGGCATTGCCAGGCCAAAGCTGGTATAGTCAAGTAAGTTTATATTTTATGCGATGGTTTAACATGTTTACAAGTTACAATCATATGTATTATTTATACTAATGTGGGAAGTAAAAAATAAGGTACATTTTCATTGGCCCATTCTCTGTGTTGGATGTAAACTTTACATCTGTTCTCTATGTTTTGGCAGCTATTGGCATAATGACTACTTCACATCTAAACCCCATGATTATGCAGAAAAAATCTTAGTACATAAGATTGGTGTCAAAACCGCCTTTTTTGTTTGTTTGTTACTTACATACATTCCTTTCTACTTATTTTTACCTTGATTAGGCTTGTGACAGTATTGCTGCCTCATCACAGGGTTTAACTCCTGCTCTCTTCAGTGTCAGCTATTGGGAGGAGTTTTAGGGGTTACTGTAGAAATGATTAGCAGCTGGCTGGGAAGGGCTCTGATGAGTGGCTGCATGGGCAGTGACAGGGAGCAGAGAGCTCCCCTGTTATTGCTCCAGCAACATTGTGCAATTGCTGGCACAGCGCATGCAGTACTGCAATTTCCAATGGACGATGGCCACCTATATTCTGTGTCCAGAAACAGTGGATTATTTCCTGTATTTGTATAATCAAAAATACTTGAGTTGCGCTGTGCACCTTGTTAATGAAATTGGCTATAGCTACATGCTGCTTTCTAAGCTGCGTAAATGAAGTGCCAACCAGGGAGGGGAAAGTATATCTTTTTACCATTGTCATGCAGGGAGATTTCAGTTTTGTTGGTTGCTAGGCAACAGCCAGCAACATCTCGTTTTCATTCCCCAGCAGGGAAAGGAGTTGGGAGGGGGCAGAATTGATTGAGCGTTAAATGGGGTTTTGCACAGGGAGGTGGAGCTGGCTATGGAGACAAGGGTAGTTCTAACAACCACCTTGGTCTCTGCCTACTAGACACAGTGCTGATATGATGTCAGCACTCCAGAAATCAAACCACAGATTGAAGTGAGGTGACCAGCTAACTGCTGATAGGAAGCAGGCAACAGTGACCAGTCATGCTGTCTGGAAATAGGGGTAACCTAACTTAATAAGCTAAGAGAAACAAGGCCACAGGAACAGCATGATGGTAATATAAGGAACGATCAGGTATGCTACAGTTACAGTGGGGATCAGATAGCAAGTTATAATGTCAATGACAGCTTAGAAGAGAATATAGTGCAGATAGATGGTCATCTGTGCCCGTCCTCTACTCATGACCTCAAACTAAAGCTCCTGCACATGCCAACCCATCAGGGGTAGCCAAATTTTGGCCTTCCAGCTGTGGTGAAACTACAAAATCCATCATGCATCTGCCTTTGGAAGTCATGCTTGTGGCTGTCAGAATCTTGCAGTGGCTAATAAGATTTATAGTTTCATCACAGCTGGAGGGCTGAAGTTTGGCTACCCCTGCTCTTGATGATACTCAAATATTGGTCTTCTCTTGGCTGCACATACATGACTGCGGGTGTGGTGCATAGGGGGAGGTCTGCAATATATAACATGCCTGCCTGTATGGCTCAGCAGTTGGCTGCCATTCTGAAAGTGGCGTGTCCCCCCCACTCCCAACACACTCTATATATCTGCCTTGGAGGTTGTCTTGCACATAATTCAGCCTTTGTTAGATTTCATTATTTGTGGATTTGGGCAGCCAATACATTTTAAGAATAATCTATTATTAGCAGGTTTTACACCAATAGCCAATACACCATTAAAGTGTCACTAATGTTTTTTATGCTCATCTCTTTTTAATAGATTATGGACTTGCTAGATGTAGTTGATGAACCCATCTTGGGATACACTCCTCCGGCTGTTATCACCATACTGCACACCCATCTCTTCAGCTGCGCTGTGGACTACAGGTACTGATTAATAAAATGTAACTCCTATTTCTATGGTTGTTGTCTGTGCTCCACAGTGAATGGATTGCATACAAGCAATACAACAGAAACCTCCACATGACCAGAACTTGCAATGACAGTATTGTGGTAAGACTGGTGACTTAAAGTGTATGTAAGCCCTAACAATGAACTTCTATTTGCTCCTTTTTGGCCTGGTAAATATACCATTAAAAGTGTTTATTATATCTACCTATTGATCCTGGCAGAAGTGCTTCTAACTTCCTGTAATGAGTTAACAATACTCCACTGAAATCTCAAACAATGTTATATGCCTTGCCTGATATTTCTCTGTGGATTACTGAACACCTGCACCTTGGTTATAAAAATGAGTAGAGGGAGAGATCTTCTGTAGCTCTAACATACGTTCTGTCCTAGGGTGACAACAATGCTCCTCCATAGATACAGTACTGTGAGTGAGTGTTGTCAACTTAGGAAGGAAGCCCATTAGAACTACAGAAGACCTCCCTGTCTCATTTCCAAGTGAATCACCACTGGGATCACCAAGTGAAAATAAAGGGAGAAAATGCCTGAAAAAAAGATAAACTAATGTTGCCACCAGAAGCTTAAATATATTACATTTTTATTCTTGGCTTTAGATACACTTTTATCACATCACATCAACAAAACCTGGCAGAATTCTTGCTTTGGGTCTTTGAATGCAGCCAGAAATTCTGTACTAGTCACTAAAGCAGTCTATGGTTATTTAGAGGTTGGTCCTTTGAAATAACTTATTTGAACTAGTTGGTTTTCTTGTTCTATCAGGTTTTAAGCTGATAGTTACTGAAGAACTGTTTTTTAATTTTTTTAAATTTTATTTTTTAACAATTTCCAAATACATGATATGACAGGGGATGGATGTAGTGATCAGGTATTCTCTAAATCAGTATTGTAAATGACTAATTCTATAGCTCAGCAGCAACGCACCCCCTAAAATACATTTTAAGATGATGTCAAATGCTTATGAGTAGGGCTGCAACTAAGGAATATTTTCATAATAGATTAGTTGGTCAATTATTTTTTCGATTAATCGGATAAAAAAAACAATACCATCCTTAATTTAAAATAAAATACACAAATGCAGTGATACAAACCTAAAGTTTACTTCAGAATAAAACTGCATGCACAATTTTTTGCAATTGCACTGCACTGGAACACAAGGCTTTGTGTACCGTGAGTTCCAGTGCGGTCGATCACACTGTGGGTGGGAGGGGCGTTTGGGGTGCCATCGAAACGAATGGCACTATTGGCACCTCCTACAGCAGAATTTGTATTGTAAGCACATGACGCTTGAATAGCCTCAGCCAGGGAATGACAGCTGCCAGTGGCAAGATTCCGCAGATGGCATCTTAATGTAAATACAGCAGGTAGTGGGCTGATGAAATAGCCAGCCTGCTATTGGCCAATTCAAATTGTAGGCTTGCTATTGCACCCGCCCACTGTGCCCTCTTTCCAACATGGAGGAGAGAGCTAGGGGATCCAACCAACTAATCAATAATGAGAATAGTTGACAACTATTCTCATTATCGATGATTATTATCGATTTTATCGATTCGTTGGTTGCAGCCCCGCAACATATGTCTTATATGTATTATGGCTATGGCAAATGTTGCACATCCTTTATTCTAATCTAACAAAAAGACTTGTAACATCATTTGCATGTGTAGTTGACAATGGAATTGTATCCATTTGTATAACTTATTGTAGCACTGATAAATGTAATGTAATTCTGATAATGTAATTGCTGTGGCACTTGTATTTCTGTTGTATTGTTTTGTATCACTGAGGTGGATATTTTCTGCATGGCTGTCAAGTGGAAAAATAGTATTCTTGTCTACGCTACTGTGTGATTTATGAGTGGATTAATTAGCTGAGATACAAAATGCAGTTCTTTCAAAATACATTTTATTTACATTTTAAACACCATAAAATTCATGTAAAAGCATTATTTATAGCTGCTACGAACACTGTTCTAATTTCTGGATACTTTTATAGTAGGTGAGGCCCTACAAACTCTACGTGCTTAGCATGTAAGACTTTGGTGAAAAAGAACTGGGAACTAATAATAGTAGATCTACATTGTGGTTAGTTAGTAATGGAGCAGTATGTTGATCTGCCCTAGTTAATTTCTACTTTGCATTCAGATCAGTAGCACACACTTGTGCTCCATATACTGGCTGTTACCAACAACCACTGTCACTTTATAAACTTCTGGAACCACATACATCAACTCCTGGTAGGTGATCAAAGTAAATTGGCAATGATCCATCACTATAGGGGTCTATTCACGAAGCTGCCGAGGGCAGCCGAGTGAATGACCGATCTGAAGTGAAGTGAGCCGAACACTGTTCAGCTATTCACTTCAGGCTGGTACGGCTAATTTCAGCCGTACATCGGCTGAAATCAGCCGTACATCGGCTTGCTTCGCGTGGCTTCGGGTCGGCCGAACATGCTCAGCATGTTCGTCCAACCCGATGTGCAGAAGGAGTTCGACTCAGCCGATCTAACATCTGGATCAGCTGAGCCGAACCTCCGGCAGGCTCCTCACTGCTGTTCGGCCTATCAGATCCTTTGGCAGCTTCGTGAATAGACCCCTATAGTGTTGATGGAACTCTGCTCGGCCAAGACGTTTTCCCCCTTCCCTTTTCTGTCAAGGGGCAGAATGAGAAACGGACTGTTGCACTGTGCCAAAGACTGCTCTAGCTCATAGAGGGAAACAAACTTTAAAAGACTTGTGACTGGGATCTTTTTCAGTTACAAAGGCAAAATCAGTCAGTCTCTTCAATATGGCAACCAGATGAAATTAGACGCTTTTTTCAGATTCCGTTTTTAGTATGGTAGAACGGAAATATATACATACAACAAAAAAAGATTTGCTCTATCTTCTTTGCCACTGCAACCTTGGGTGTTGGTCTCAACAGCAGGTCTCCTGTTACCCCCCATAAACGCTGCAAGTAAGTGAAAACGCTGGAGTCAAAATACAATCTATAATTCCTGTTTATTATTTAGAAGCCAAAAACCATTACATCAGAGCAACAGGATGGAATTATAGATTGTATTGGAACTCACTTGCAAAGTCTGTGTTAGAACTGAAGGTTAAACTTGGTAGTAACTGTGGGGACCAGCAATTGCTTTTTCTAGACATTTTATGGATCAGCCACACAATAGCTGCTTTAGTAAAATTGGAGTATACTTTCAGATATTTCTACAATTTTATAGAAATAGAAAAGCGGTAAATCTGGTTTTTGTTGTTGTTGTTTTTTTTTTTAAAGTTGCAGCTTTGTATTTGTCGTTCTCTATTCGCTTTAGTGTTAATGAATCTGCCACATAGAAAATATCTTTGATTCTCAACTCCAGTCCTTTAAAGAAGAATTATGGGGAGAGCTGACGTGTGACACTGACATAATTGTGACATAATTAGAGCTGACGCGTGACACTGAGGGTGTCATACGTCGGCACAATTGATCAAGAACTGAGCGAACGCATGCCACTGATCACTCGGTTCCCGATCTCCTCCCTGCAGAGAGCGGTGACTGTCAGTCACTGCTCCACACAGGGATTCCTTCCCCTCCTCTCCAGTCCTCTCTAGAGAGGCAGAGACAGCTGTCAATCAAGCAGCAGGGTGGATCCCGACAATATTGTCAGGATCCTTCCCGGCTGCAGCATGGCTCTGCGCTGTCAGCATATAGCGGGCAATAGCCGCTATATGTTAAGCTTTGGGTCACAGGAGAACATTAGTAAATGTCCTCCTGTAACCTAAAAGAAAACTAAAAAAAAAGTTCCATAGTTCTCTTTTAAGGCACTATTATGTTGAGTGCTTTCCATTGTGCAGATTGGCATTTAATATAATATTCTTTCTGCAGAATCACATGTGAGTTAGTTGACACCCCTAATTTGTTTAAGATATTAGGAATTAGTACATATACATGCGGGAAATAAATAACCCTGTGCAGCCATAATGCTACACAAATCATTTTTAAAAATAATGTATATTTATATGCAATTAATGCAGCCATTGTCACAATGACACCACCGTATTGTCAGCAGGCACATGGCAAAGATTGGGGTAGTCACTCTATCACAAGAGGCCTCTGAGAGCGAGTTGCACTAGAGAAATCCATTCTATAATTTTAAGAACGGCTTCATCTGACTGCAGGAAGTCACAAACTGTATCTGATAAACCAACCTTCTACAACACAGCAGTAAGCCGCTAAAAAAATAAATGGCCAGCTTCTGAAGGCCATTGCTGCTACTGTGAGAAGTACAGTTGATATAGTTTGCGTTTTGCACTCTAGATTGTGTAGTGTTGTAACTATTAATGCTATTGATAAATAGTAATATATTACAAATATCCTCTATTGCAGTATTGGCAGCATGAACACAAGATGATCATTTATTTATTAAAATAAATCCATTTTCTTCCAGACCTCTCTACCTCCCTGTCAGAGTTTTGCTCACAGCAGAAACATTCACTCTTTCCAGTAACATTGTAGTGGATACAGCTACTTTCCTACTCAGGTGAGCACTGTGTAGTCAGATCTGTGAAAAAGGCAGCATATGTTATATGAAAATGGAAAACATGGAGGCATAGTGAGGGCCTCGTGGTATTAATGTAGTGTTATAACTGTGATGACATATAGGGGTTTATGTATAAAAGATTGCAGAGTCCCTTATCCTGCGAAGCTGCATGTACATTCGTTCTGTGTGAATGGGGGCAAAAACAAATGTTGTGTAATATCAGTAAAAATACCACATTATGGCTACTAGATGGTGGCGAGGAGCATAGAAAATAAATATGGTAAACTCCCTGTTATCCGGCATCCATGGGGATTGGCAGATTCTGGATAAATGTAACTTCTTGTTGCTTGAGAGTTACTATTAAAAATAGGTCTAACTAATGCCATACCCCCTACTATACGATACCATTACAAACTCAGTATTAGTGTAAAGTGTTGTCACAGCGCTAAAGGTTTGAGATAAATATGAAAATATGTGAATATATATGGATCAAAACATGAGTGACACCCTGTGTGTAAGTCTTCAAAAAAACCTACCAATAATGAATATAAAGTACCATAAAAGGACTGAAAAAGTGCTGATGTGCGAACAATCAAAAGGAAAGCTACATTCCTCAATAGGATAAGTGAATAAATGTAACAGGATATCACACTATACAAATATTAAAACTAAGTATATCGAAGTGAACTATAAAAAATTAAATAACCATTCAATAAAATTATTTCATAAATATGTGTAGAAGTGAAAATTAGCAGTGAAAACAGTGAAGCAAATGTAACAATCAAAAATGTATTGCAAATACAAAGATGAAAAGGATGTACAAAAATGAAAAAAACGAACAATGAAAAAAGAAAAAACATAAGTCCTTCCAGAAATTTCAGTCCGTGATGTGAACTAACACAAACTGCACCAAAAAATATATATATACGAAAAAAATAGATAAGTTATATAAAAATCAATATGAGCGTTCTGATGAGAGTTCCACAATTCCTCCTCACCCGATCTGAAGCCCCCCAAACGGTGGTTACTCACCAGATGGTGTATGGACAGCAAGCTCCTCCCAATAGCTGTAATTCCGGTCCCTTAGCTCACTGATATGTGCAGGATTCCCCGGCAATGTGGCGGATAACCCCAGGTAACCTCGCCCGTCGCGCTGCACCGAGTCCAGTTGAAACCCGGCTCCTTCCGCTCGCCAGTTGCTGTTATATTTATCTCCCCGTCTCGGTGATGATTCAAAAGGGATTTAAGAGAGAGAAACAGCCTCCATAGTGCAGTATAATTAAACAAAGTTTTTATTTAGGATGAACAGTTCACATAGAAGTTTAAAAAAGTTTTCCGGCCGGCCAGACCAACACCTAAGAACAGACACACTGCTAAACAGTTCGTGTCAGAAAGATCTGCCCCTTGACGCGTTTCGTCACTTGCCGTTTTCTAAAGGTGAACAGATGTATATGTACAAACTCTGTATTGACTTCATATTAATATTGAAATGCAGTAATCAAAAGCAAATTGAGACAAATAGGCACACAATCGTTTCCAGGATAATACATGCCTCAGATCAGCAGAACAGTGAGTACACAGGGGATTGTTTTTCTCTGGTTAGATGAGAGTTCTTGTTAGTTGAATACCGGATAACAGAGAGTTTACTGTACTTATTTCCTTAACTCCGCAGCTCTGTCTAGTGACCATAATGAAGTATTATGGCGATGTTGAATTCGACCTAGAAAGAAACTATACTAATGACATTTGTTTTTGCCCCTATTCACACAGAACTAATCTACATGCAGTTTCGTAGGATGAATAGTTCTGCAACTTGTTTTATAAATATAACCCTTCGTGTGGTTTTGGTGCCTCTTAGGCCTGATTCACACCTAGGCAACAGCGTTTTTGCACATAAAAATGCAAATTTTTGTGCACAATAAACGCACGCACATTTTTATGAGCAGATTGTGACACACTGATGCAAATGGCAAAAACGCGCAAAACCAATTAGAACGTGCGTTTCCTATTGACTCTACAAAATGAGCTGTAATATGCCAAAAAGAAGCTCATGTACTTTTTCCAGCGACAGGAGTTTTGGTTATTGCGACACAACGCTCAGGTGTGAACAGGGGCCATAAGAATGAATGTGATTTTTTGGCGGAATCAGCTGCCACAATACACTCAGTGTGAGCCAGGCCTTAGGTCATTTTTTATGGCGCATATATTGCTGTTTGTGTCCCTATTGGGAGAATTCCACAGCACCTCCTGTACCATTCACAGGATGTCCGCTGGGGACAGTAAGAGCAAAAAACACAACAGGTGAGGAAGGGTGAGAACCTTCTGTCAGATTTGTATTGCTGCTGTGACACTCATTCCCATTTGCTCTTGCCCTGGTGTCCAAGACATGAAAAATTAGGAATATGAGAGAGGTTTTAACATTTCCCCATGCTATCTAAAACGAAAGAAAATATTTTGAGTGGAGTTGTACTTTAAATAATCCCTCTGTCTTTCTTTCTCTTTTTTCTATATCTCTCTTCCACTCGCTCTAGCACGCACTCTCTGACACACCCACACGCTCTCTCTCTCTGCCCAGCTCCTTTCCTGTTTCTGTATATTGAGTTAATATTCTCTGTTCTTATTTCCAGGTTTATTTTAGATGACTCTGCTCTTCATCTGTCAGACAAATGTGAAGCTGATGTGACTGATTTAAAGAGAGGTATGACATTTTGTGATGCAGTGATATGATAAGTAAAACAGCAAAGTCAATGTTATCGGTTATTGTTGGATGGAAACATGGAATCTCGCAGTGGGATCTGGATAGTAAAATCTTATGATTAAATATTGTACACTTTCCTGTCATCAAGACAGAAGTGGAAGGAAATCTCTCTTGTTCTGATGACAACTGTTGAAGGCAGGATTTCTCTCCAGTTTAGGGAGACTGGCTTTCATTTCCTGTTGTATCTTCTCAACAGGAAGTGTAGAAAAATATTCTGAATGGGGAGACAGATAGCTATTAAAACCCGACAGAGGTTCAAAACCTTTCCCACTCTGTCCAGGATTTGAAATCATTTTCACATTACACTTTATCACCAGCCATAAGATAACAGTACTTTAACACGGTGAAGTCTGTGTATTAATCTTTGTGAATTGATGTTTACATACAAAATATGACAAGTGATGTAAGATGGATGCAGCAAATTCAGCTGATCCATCCGTTTGGAGCCCAAAATATAGCAAGTAACAAGTGGTAGTTAAAATGCCACATGCATTATGCTAACGTGAGCAGTTGCTGCAGAGGGAACTAGTTGCAGGGGGTCCTGAGCAAGAGGTGGAAAATACATACCTAGTCAAAGCCGTCTTTCCCCTAACTTTCCATCCTGGTGACTATAGTTCCCAGGACAAAATAAGAATAATTCTTCCAACATGGTCACAGGCAGCAATAGAAAATCTGTTACAAATTCAAACCCTTTCCTTTAAAGCTAGAATGACTTTTCCTGGAGTTCCACTTTAACCAGGAATACCACTTCATGATACATAATGTAAAAATAATAATTTGAATTGAATTGTTTAGTGGAAAAATTTATATAATAGAAAAACCAGGTCAGTGAAAATTCAGCTTCGTGAATGGACCCTAAGGTAAAGAAAATGTTGGAGCTGTGTAGATAATTCAGAATACTGAAATTAAAGTGACTCTGAACTCAGGAGTTAAATCTTAAAAGTGCATTCAAATACCTTAACTGTTAACAAAAATGTATCTTATTTGTATATCACTCGGCTGTAGATCCTCAAATAATCTCTGAATTGGTGGTGACACTGTCCTTCCTTCTGGAGGGTGGCTGCTTTTATTTCCCATGGTTCCTGTGTGTGTATTGAATTTGTATTTGTACTGAGATTGTAGTGAGTGTAGTCATGAGAGCGAGCTTGGAGCGGTGACTACTTTACAACACACACAGGGACCACGGGGAACAAATGTAGCCCTCCCTCCAGAAGGAAGGACAGTGTCAGCACCAATTCAGAGATGATGTGAGGATTTACTGCCGAGTGATACACAAATAAGCTCTCGTTCACACCTGAACGTTTTGTAGCGCGTTCTACGCTCGACGAACGCTCTACAAAACGCTCAAACATCTAAATCCCATTGTATTCAATGGGTCTGGTTCACACCTTGGCGTATTTCAGCCCTTCCCTAACGCGCTACAAAACGGCCCACACCTGAAAAGGTACATGTACTACTTTGGGCCGTTTTTGTTGCGTGTTTCCATTGGGATACAGCCAAGTAGCCCTCGGAAACGCCCGTTTGTCGCGCGATTATTTTACCGCGAATCGCGGTAAAAAAACCGCGCGACAGACGCGCATATGCAATACGCCTAGGTGTGTACCAGGGCTAAGATACATAGTTGAGGTACTTGAATGCATTTTTAAGATTTAACTCCTGAGTCTGAGTCTATGACTGGTCTTAAAGTGACAATCTGAATGTTACTTGTCCACTAGAGGGCAGAAAAACAGTAGTCAACAGTGTCCTCTGAACAAAGATGTAAAATTCTTGGACTTCTTTGTCTTGAAAATGAGTAGTGCATCTGTACTTCCCAATGCAAAAGTTTGAATGTGTTTTGGTAGCAGGAGAGAAGCTATTGAAGAAGATCTCTGCTTCATCAGCTTCTTTGGGGGTCCCTAGGAGACATTAGGGGTCTTACAGTCCTGTCACTGTAAATTTGCTATCACATAGGGGGCTTCTTAGCACCCTTTGTAATAGCAATAAAGTTAAGTGTAAAGTAAAAAAAAAGAAATTAGTCACATGAAACACACCCCCCGTACAAACACATACAAACGAAAACTTGCGCAAACGGTGATTGCATCTCTTGTACCGCACATGTTACATATCACTGTGAATGTCGGCGTGTGAGCAATAATTCTAGGGCCCTCAATCACTGATAACACTAAATTAATGAGCTGTAAAAGCTTTTAAAGCATCGCTTATGGCCAATTTTGGTTATGGTACATTTTTTTGCAGTTTTGCAGTGACCCTGTCTTTTATATTTTACAAAAAAATTGGGTAATAATACATGTTTTAGAACATAATGTAGGGTAAACAGTTTTTTTTCCAAATTTTCCCTCTTTTTTTTTTTAGATAGTAAAAAATAAAAACCACAGCAATGATTAAATACCACCAAAAGAAAGCTCTATCTGTCCCCCAAAAAAGATATACAATTCATTTCAGTACAGCGTTGCATTACTGAATAAATGTCAGTCAAAGTACTGCAGCGCTGAATACTGAAAAACGGGACTGGACAGTAAGGGGGTTCAACACCCCGGTCAGCAACTAGTTCATATAAGCTTATATCTGCTGTTAGAAATTTTTTTTTTAAACCAATATACATTTATGAGACAGGTTAACTTTATATCCCGTTCCTTCGTGCCTCTATATTGTTTGACTGTTAGCAGGGAAACACTACAAGAATAGGTTGGGAAATGATGTAACAGGCTCAGAATATATTGATTTTGCTTTACTGCTCATTCTCCAAATGCTAGTCTATGAGTGAGCTGGCTCATTGGAAACATTGTGGTTCCAATGCAGCTGATTACTTATTTCAACATTTGTTAAGAGAGACAGATCATCGGACTAACTTCTTTTCATCAAATGTCAGCATCCATTTTGGTATTGAGTGATCTCCTCATTACTGCTTATAAGGCAGTAATATGGAGCAGTGGTTGATGTCTGTTTATCTTTGCCTGATCAGCAGATATTATTAAAATACTGGAAGAAAAAATCTGGCTTATGCTTTCTCTGACAGCACTAAACATAAAGTAATCTTTCGCCATGTCTAATGGCCTTTAAAAAGAGACTTCAAGTAGTTGCAGTAGGGTCAAAAGGGTTAATGCTTCTCTTAACATTCACTACCATGAAACAAAATCCTTGGATGTAAATCTCCTGTACTAATAGTCTGACATCAGTGTCATGCTATTAGTCCATACAAGTCCATAGATGTTAAAAATGGGGCTCTAGCAATGTGAATCATCATGCCATGTCACATAGCCTAATGCCCCTTGTCTTCAGGGCTTTGTATATTATCTGCTAATTGCACCTATAGCCTAAGACATCTTACACAGACCTGACGTAATTGTATGTAGCTGCAGGGAAAGGTCAAACTTTGCCTAACCAGATTGTTCTTAAAGGAGAACTATGAAGTGAGTGCTTTTCACTCACCTCATAGTTCTAGCCGACCACCTCAGCTAAAGAGTAACTGGCCAACACATTTTTCAAACCTACTGACATTTCTCCCCAGGAATGGTCAGGCACGGGTATCTGCTGCTCCTATAGGGATGACAGCGTCATCTGATCCAGCTAAATGCAGCTAAATCTCATGACTATCATCTTATATCAGTGAGGAGTAGATTTACATATGAGCATGCCTGAGGCTGAAGACATTTTCTACTTTAATAGAAGACTGAACAAATCTATAACTAAACATCTTGATAGGGTTAGGTGCTCAAGAGCATTCAAGCAAGGCATTTTAGTGTGTTCCTCAACAACCCATCAAGTACTTACCACACTATTTCTGGATGTCTGTGATTAGCAAAGTGCTTACAAGCATTTTGAATAGTATTTGAGAAGCTCATAAAGTCATAAACATTTTACCAATTACTGGGTCCAATAGGGATGCCTGTCAAGTGTTTAAGATGCATCCTTCTTTTTTCCATAGCGTTCCTTGTAAGGCATGAAATATAAAATATTAGATAAGTGACTTCTTACTGCTCTAATACTTCTTACCCCAAAAAGAAGAGGCTTCCAATGTGCTGATTTGCTTATTAATTGTTCAGCTATATCAAGGGAACCTGTTCTACTCATCTGGAAAATGGGGCAGGCATCTGCCAAAGATGTACCGTATATACTCGAGTATAAGCCATCCCGAATATAAGCCGAGGTACCTAATTTTACCACAAAAAACTGGGAAACACTAGGATTGGTTTATATAAACTGGAGAAAATAGTGTAGACAGTGAGAGGGGAGAGCTGTGCTCTTCCTCTCTCCCCTGTCACAGGAGTTCCAGCACAGCGCTGTGCTAGAACTGTATTGAGGTGACAAGGTCAATAAAGAGAACCTGTCGCCTCCAATTGCTATCACACAGGGGATTGTTATCTCCTCTGTCATAGCGATATAGTTAGGTGAAAAAAAAAAATGAAATAAAAAAATAAAAAGGTGATTAAAAATTAAAAAATAATAAGAAACAAATTATTAAAAAAATAAGAAAATAATTATATGGCCCTGGCACTGAGGGCTGCAGAATCTCTGACCTGAAACTGCCGGATGCAACAAGTATTAGGTTCAATACAAATCTTTTACACCAAGTGCTATGTTGGTGTGTTGGAAGTGCATGCTGAGCTGCAGTCTTGGAGCACTTGTGGTTTAAGGCCCTTTGGTGATGGCATTTTGATCAAAAGTCCTCCTAACACTTTTGTATAATCTCTACTTTCATAGCATATACTGTATATTTATGGGTACAAGTTCTTCCAAGTGAAGGTGCTAAATGCACATGCACTTCTATTGTCCACCACATGAGTCATTTCTATTTATCATCCGAGTTACATAGTATATTGGGATGGGTTGAAAGATGGGAAGATATTTCAGCACCTGCTGTTCTCTATGAGACACTTCATGTCTATTGGTGAACTATTGCTCTATTGGTAGTATTTTTTTTCTGTAAGTAATCACTGTTACTTATTACTTGACCGTGACTTCACTGTTACTTGTAACTCTGACTAGCAGCTGAGTTTGTGTTTTTGGCTTTTCCCTTATTAACTGTTAGTAGCAGTCTGTAACAACACTTATGAAGCCCATGTGAATGTACACAGTGGAGTGCAGGTTCACAAGTATGTGCCCAGTGCAGCATAAATGCATACATAGGCATCAGACATGTAAAGTGGTGCATGCATAAATGCATACATAGGCATCAGACATGTATCTAGTGCTGCATAAATGCATACATAGGCATCAGACATGTATCTAGTGCTGCATAAATGCATACATAGGCATCAGATATGTATCTAGTCCTGCATAAATGCATACATAGGCATCAGACATGTATCTAGTCCTGCATAAATGCATACATAGGCATCAGACATGTATCTAGTCCTTCATAAATGCATACATAGGCATCAGATATGTATCTAGTTCTGCATAAATGCATACATAGGCATCAGACATGTATCTAGTCCTGCATAAATGCATACACTGGCATGAGATCATAGATGGCCATATTGATATAGGTATCGGAGATGCACACTGGGTTTCTTTTTAAAGGAGGTGTTGATTTAATTAAGCACTTACCAAGTTTTGGTGTGTTTCCAGATTATGTCTGTGTCTTGGATGTTGATCTCCTGGAGTTGGTCATCACAACATGGAAGGGGAACGCCTTGTCTAAATTGGTATGTATCCGAAGAACAGAAGAATAACCCAGACTAGGTCAGGGGCTGAGTTATACATCTTGCAAGTGGTAATCTTCCTTAAATTGTATCAGCCATCTTTACCTTGTTAGGAAAGACATTCTACAGTATCGTATTCAAACCTGGCCATAAAGTACCTCAGGGGTTTTTCAGTGATGTGGTTGATGGTATAAAGTATTAGATTTACTTGCGGCTGCAACCGCTATATATCTTAACAGCTCTCTGTTAACTTTTTTTAAGCTACGTGCTATGCCTGATAGTATGCCTAAGCTCATGCTTCATGCAGTCTAAATTTGAACCAGTTATCAATGGGCATTTGTAATAATCCACATTTCTACTCTTCATTTGTTATAATAATGCAGCAATACCTTTCAGGAGTTGCTTTTTTTTTTTTACTTGTATTCTGTCAGATCAGAAGTGTCAGGCTATAAACTCAGTGCTGATTACAGGCACTAAATAACTGTGAACTAACAAAGGTACTGTCAGGATAACATGAAAAAAAACTAAACCTTTTGTTGACTGATATTTGTGCGCTGCTCCGAGCAGTCTGGACAGAATGAGGGTTCCAACCATGAACTCAGGCAGGGAATGAGTCGGCCTCACCGGGGGTCTTACAGCCTGACAGCGGGCTAATACTTCTGCTGTCAGAAAGGTGGCACAGCCCAATAAAAGAACACGTGCCTATCACATGGAGGCAAAGCTCTAGAGATTCTTATAAATGTCTACTTTGGCTGGTCCTCTTAAAGCCCCAAACCTCTGCAGATCTACTCTGATTTAATCAGCCTCCAAATCAGGTATATTTTGCCAGGTAATAACCCGTAAAGAGTCTGACAACTGAGTCTGTAACAACAAAATATGTTTGTGCTATGCTAGTAAGATTAATGTTACCACACTATAGCAAAAATATTTTTTAAATTTAGTACTGTGTGCTGGTCAACTCCCTGATTTAAGACTTGTTTGCCCTTTGCTTCGTTTTCAGAGGGCAAGTAGAGCAGTGTGTGTGCCTGCAGATATTGGATTTGGTAATGACAACCTAACACAAGCATGTCAATAACATACATCCTGTTGACTTGTATTGCTTTGTGTTCGATCTTGATGCATACCACCCTTGTACTCAGGCTTTTACATTGCCCATAGAAGTTCTTAATTCTTCTGAGTAGTGTTCACTTACCTCCATTCCAGCAGTTTCAACTGATTTACAGCAAACATTATTTGGGAGTGTGTCTACAAGCTCTTACTCTAATATAAGAATATCTACTCTTATGTTTTATTTTATCTGAAGCTCTTTCTCTCACTTTGAACTTGTAAAAATGATTTAAGTCATTCATTTGTATTTTTTGCCTTCAGACTCAGCCTCTCTTTGAACTGCGCTGCTCCAACAACGTGCTTCACATTCACACCTGTGCAGATTCCTGTGCTATGCTTGTTAACCTTATCCAGTATGTGATGAACAATGGGGACCTGCACTGCCCCCCCATACCTGAGCCACCGACTGAGATTGCAGGACAGAAATTGCAGGTATTAGGTCTATGGCTAGATGCTTGTGTATGCAAACAGTGGCTTTCTAGTTCTTTAATTTGCTATCCTCTGCTTTTGTTTAATCTTAAATCTGTCTCAACTTTTCCAAAGACGACCTGTCATACAAATATGGGAACTACCATTGCTGAATTTTTAAGGTGTGAGCTCTGGGCTTGTTCTTATTCTTACTCCGATACTTGGTGAACTCACACAAAGAATAGGTATGCAACCAGTGAAGTCAGGACTCCCGAAATGCAATTTTGTTTTCTAGGTCATTGACTCACCAATGCACCTGCAAAGGCAAACCACTTCATGCAATAGATTGTTTTTTAATTGCCAGAATCTTGGCACAGGTGTAGATTTAGGTGCTGATACAACACTTGATAAGGTAGGTCCAGGTTTGCTGGAGTTAGTCAGTATTAGGAATTAGGATAAGGTTGATGGTTAAGTTATTTGGTAAGGTTGGGTTAAACTCCAGGCAAGCAGTGCAATACACACTTGAAACACATATATGGGCAATGTTAACATAACAAAGGATTTTTAATTAATCAGTAGCCACTTTTGTGATCCAGCCACCATGGCCCAGCAGCACAGTGAGTCCTCACACCTCCATTTCAACTATAGTAAGACCTGGACACACCTCCAACTTACTAATAGGATAGTAAAGGAAAAATATTCTGATGAAGTTATCCCTCTGCACACTGGGCTCTCTCCTCCAGTCACCAGTCTTAGGATAATTTGAGGTAATTACACTAGTTACATGAATTCCCACCTGCCTCTAGTTCAGCTTATAGAATTAGGTTTTGTGTAAGGATTAAATGCTTGGGTGCAGGTTAAGTGCTGAGTACTCATTTTTAGGGCAAGATTTTAGGGTTCATGCGAGGGCAGGTTTAAGTGTTAGGGTCAAGTTTACATGGTGGGAGTGTGTGGCCTGAGTGGGATCGATAGAGCAGAATCACGAGACTTGTGGTGCTATTAGTAGGGATACCAGTTCAGATACCAGTGCCGATACTTGGCATTTTAATGAGAACTACCAGGGTTGCAGAGGTTGCAGCTGGGACCTGGCTTTGGCGCTCCACCACTGTCCTGAAATCATTAGTCGATATTGTTTTAGAAAAACTGTCACATGACAAAAAAAAATGTATCAGTACTTGTATCTGTAAGTACTTGGGCTAGTATCAGTACTTGTACTTGCAAAACTGGTATTGGTGCATCCCTTTATATATGTTTATAAAAACAAAATCATACATTAAAACAGAGATGTACAAATCCTAGGAGCTCCTTGTGCTCTTTAAAAATAACAGCTGCCTCCTAACTTTTGAATTTTTCTCTAGTCTAGTCTTGGAGCTCGAAAAGTATCCGTACTTGTATTTGTACTTGTACCGAGTACGGTACTTGGTATCGGTGCATCCTTACTATTAGGGATAGATAAGAGAGCATCTAGGGGCTTATTTTTAGCTTGTTTTCCTTTCTGTCCTGCTGTTTCAATAACTTTTCTACGTTTTTGACGTGGAGGAAGTATCCAGATCACATTGGCTCGGTAAAGGTCAGTAAAGAAACCAGTGATACCCACTAGGATGCACAAAATGTTCCCACAAACACCACCAGCATGCTGGAGATGTGAACAGGCAGAAGGAACCATTCTACACATCTTCTGGTCCTGCCCTAGCCTCAGGGACTGTTGTGCCACAGGTCCACACTGTCTCGGAAAAAATACCGCTCATCTCTGCTCATTCACCTGGTTAACGCTGCCAGGGCCTGTATTCCACTATGCTGGAAAAGCTCCGGCCCACCCACGGTCACGATGTGGCTCGGTAAGGTGGACGAAACACGGGTAATGGAGGAGCTTACTGCGACTCTACACCATACTGACGACAAGTCCTGGAAAGCGTGCTTCTATTGGTTGGAATACCTCTACTCCCCAGAGTATGGTGCACTCATGGTAGAATAAGATATTGTGCCATACCTGTGAATATACGAAATCTAGAGGCCCCAGACATAATCTGACGCCTTAGTCTGAGTGCAGGAGCGTACGGATCAGATCAACACAGAAAACGGACGTCGTGTGAATAGGCCCGGAAGGAGGGAATCTTTGCGTGTAACAATGACTGATGGTCACCGCTCTCTTCAGGGAGATCACGAACTGAGTGATCAGCGGTATGTTATCGCTCAGTTCCCGTTCAATAGAGCTGATGTGTGACCGCTTCAGTGTCTCACATCGGCTTTAATTATGAGGATGCATGTATTTCGCTCTCCACATAATTCTCCTTTAAGGAAGCAATGTGTTTTCCTTCTTGGATTTTTCATGGATAAAAGTGTTGTCAAGTGCAGGTGAATCAGAAAACTATGATTAAATGACTCTATTAGAACGATCATTGTTGTGGACCTTACACGCAGTCGTGTTCTTTTATTGGAAGCGGCGTTCTGTCTTGAGAGCAAAGTTCTTCACAGCCAGAGTTTTGGGAGAGTTTCCCGATCTGAACAGGTGGTTATGCGATTTGGTGTTTGATTCTGTGTGGCCTGATTATGTGAATGTATCTTTTTAGTGTAGCGCAAGTATTCTTGCACATCCTTCACAACTATCTCCTTGTGGTTGACTTTTTAATAAATGTTATATTTGGAGAGTAACAGATTCTCTGTTGGATTAGAATTTGTATATCTTTTATATTGTGAACTTTTGTTCATTAAAGTCCTGTAATTTTCAGAGTATTAGATCCACTGCCAGCTGAAAATCCATGCATGTTTGACGTTAATGCAGAAATATAATCCACATGGATCAGCTACAAACAAGGTTATCTGTATCAGATCATTGTTCTTTGCTGACAATAATTTGGCACATACTAAGTAAGCACCAGAGCTTTCACTTTTTGAACACGGTAGAACTTTCGCTGCTAATATCTCTGCAATGATTTACTATTCATCACTGTGACAAGTTAAATTGTTTCAGGTGTTTAAAGTCATTATTGAGGGATTAGTTTTAGGTAGAGTAAATATAAACCCAATCACTAACATTTCATGTTACTATAATTGAAGTGGTTATTTTCAATTGTTCAGTCTTTATTGTAGACAGGAAGTGGCTGCAGGAGATCAGCAACACTGAGATGCAATAAGAGATGGAAAAAATAGTATTATGATACACGGTGCCTTAGCAATCTAAATGTCAACGATTTAATGTTTACATCTACCTTAAAGTGCATGTCATGTCACAAACGTATTTTCTAGTTTTGAATAGAATTAGGTGAGATAAGAGCTCCTGTTGGGTTTTACTGCTAACCTGAGCTCTGTTAGAGACTTATTTACTGACTTCGATAGTAATGAAAAGATTCCCAGGGGTACTAGCCTGCCTCTACTCTACTAATTGAAAGCATTTTTGTTTCTGTCTGTGTTTCTATTAGAGCAAACGTTGTTAGCAGGACAGTAACGGAGCCCCAGATAGCAGCAGAAACCTTTATTTCTGACTCTAACCAAAGCTGAGAATTTTGTTCGGTCACTTTAAAGCCTTGGTTCTCAACTGGTGGGTCGTGACCCAAAAGTGGGTCGTGATCCCGTGTTCAGTGGGTCGCCGCATGTCTTCCACTTTTCTAGGTGAGAGGCTTCTCAGCTTCCCCCTAAGGCCCCATTCACACTAAGCGACATACCTTTTGCAGCGGATCCGCGTGGCCGGGATAGTGCGACTTTCGGGGCGACGTTCCAGCGACGGTAGCGCGACCTTCTCCGTCGGGCTCCATTAGAAAAAAAGCAAAATCCGCAGAAAAAAGGGTCCTGTAGAAGCGACTTGCGACAATCGACATGGAGCTAAGACAGCTCCATTGAATAGCATTAGCGGCCAATTCTCGCGATATCGCGCGGCACAAATGCGCGATGTCGCGCCGGAAATTGCTTAGTGTGAATGGGGCCTAACGCAGCACTATCAATTCTTGCGCCAAGCAGACATTCATATGTTGCTCGGGCGCCAAGTGTCAGTTTAAGGTGTGGTGGGCTGGAGCTATGGCCGTTAGGGAGCTCCATCCATATATACATTGCTTACAGCTCCCTCACTTGTCCTGTAGAGGTGCCTGGACCGGAGTGACGTGACCTCTATAGGGTGCACAATGGGATTGTACAAGCAATGCACATATGGATGGAGCTCCATCACAGCATAGCAGCCCACACTGCATCCCAAGCTGAGGATCCACTTCAGTTCTCGTAAGGTACGGAGACTGGGGGGATCTTAAGAATTTTTTTTTTTTAATTAAGTTTTTTGGAGTGTGTATGTGTGTGTGAGAATTTGTGTGTGTCTGTCAGTGTTTTTGAGGGCCCGTTCACACTAGTACAGTGCGTTAATCAAACAGTCCTGTGCGATTAATGCACTGTACCATGCAATTGCACCTACTATGCACTCTGGTGTGGGAGGTGGGTTGTGTTGTCATTCATTTGAATGACCTGCCCCACAGTTCAATCGCCAGCACAGAAACGCACAGTACCAAAATGCCGTGCGTTGCATTGCAGTGCGACTTGGGTCGCAACTTAATGACCAAGGATAAAAGTGGGTCCTGAGGTTACACAGGTTGAGAACCACTGCTTTAAAGGTTACCTGCATTTGGGGCACGTTTAAATTGAAGCTAAGCATGAGTAGCTGTTATCTTTTCGTGTGGGCTTAGTTAATTTACTTGGTGTAAAAACGGTACACCACATGCTGTAGCATTAATTTCTGCCTAAAAATTGTTTGCAATTTTTTTTCTTCCACTGAAACCTCCGAAGGCTCCGTTCATACATAGCGGCAGCATTTTCCGCGTGGTTTTTCACACGGAAAACCGCGTGGAACAAAACCGTGCGGAATCCACCATAAAATCGTGCTTGTACTATTTTGCAGGACCGCAGCAAAAGTCTAATCAATGCACATTAAAATGCATTGTTTTTTTATGTTTAGAGCGGTTCCGTGCACATTTGTACGGCCGAATACGCACGGACAATCACTCCTGTGTGAATGGAGCCTAAAACATTCATGCTAGGTTTCAGAA